TCTCTCTCTCTCTCTCTCTCTCTCTCTCTCTCTAATGTTTTTGTTACACTTTTGTGTAGACTTACGATGACTTTCTGACCTACAAATCCGGTGTCTATCATCACGTGGGCGGAGGTGTGCCCGGCGGACACGCCGTGAAGATCATTGGATGGGGTGTGGAGTCGGGAGTGGACTACTGGCTGGTGGCCAACTCATGGAACCCCGATTGGGGCCAAAAGGGTCTCTTTAAGATCCGTCGGGGTAATGATGAGTGCAGTTTTGAGAGCGACATTAGCGCCGGTTTACCCAAACTCTAGACCTTTTTTGTATAAAACTTAAAATGTGATTATATCTTGTGAATAAATAAATAATAAGTTTATTGCAAATAATTATTAAAGTTACCATAATCATTTATTTAATTTCAACAAAAAAATAAATATTGTATTTGTTAAACTATTTATATGTAATTTGATACAGTATATTGATATATACGCTGTAAAAATTTTGAAAATTAAACAAATATAAAAATCTTAATGATGAGAATTTATGTTTGGTATTACGAAACACAACTTTACTTTTGATAGTTTTCTAAAAGGTGACTTTTGCTAAATATTGTAGACAATACATTATTATTTTACCCTCATTTACACATTTTTACTTGCATTGAGAAGAAATAATTTTTATTCTAATTATATCTATTGTAATTTTAATGTTTTAACCAAAAAATTGTAATATGCGCATAGCAAAAAATAGTATTTTAATTTATTAATAAAATAATTTAATATACTCATTTTATCGCGTAACTTTTCTAATCTATACATTTTATTACACTACATAACCTATAAAACTAGATTTAAATTTAAGACATACACCTTATAATAATTTAATTGCATAAATCTAACTCCTATTTTAATTTAAAATTTGTTAAACCCATATTAATAATTGTGCTGGTCATATAATACTCTGGTACAATGTAATTATTTAAAAACAGGAGATAAAACAATTTTTATTCAGAAGTAGCATTATAATAAATCAATATTATACGAATAAACAAAATAGAATTAATGCAATAAATATTTAATAGAAGTTTTTTCAATAATAACCAGTGATTATTAATTTCACAAATAAATGTAAGCCAACACTCATATCAACATCAATTTAAAGTTAAATATCAAATTCAAAATATCATAAAACATTTACTATTAAACTGATATTATGGCCAATTGTACAAACATTTAAATGTTAATTAAATTTTATTAATTATACATTATTAATGACACGTCCGGTGGCGCGGATACAGCCCTCGGCAGAGGCCAAGTTGTCGCACACCTGGAGCCCAATCGCCCGCAACTGTTGGCCAAAGCGCTCGTCAAACAGTGCCGACTGTGTGTCAGTCATGTGTGCCCTCCAGTCGCCAATTGTGCCCTTCCGTACAAATTGTGCGTTGGGTTTGGCTAAAGCGGTCATCATATTTGAGTTATTGGCCATCGGATTGTCGCGCATAGTCTGCAGCGAACAATGGGTAGTAATGTTGGCCACCGTTTCGGCCGTAAACTGTTTGCCGAGAAAGCGGGCGATTGTGGCGATCATTGCCGCCGAGTCTGCGATCAACTCTTCGTACGCTATGAACAGTACGTTTGGGTGATTCCCAGTGCCGTACGCGAGCCAGAAGTCGGTCACGTGTGACAACCAATCGCCGCTTATTAAGTGCCCGTCCAGAAAGAGTTGGCAAAAGTCATCCCAATCTATAGTGTTTTCTATCATATTATGGAAGTGATAGTACGAAACACAAACGTCCTTTGGGTTACGCATTATGTAAATCATCTGAGAAGCAAATTATCATTGTTATTCAGATTCTCTCTCTCTCCCTCGCTCTCGCTTTCTCTCTCTCCATACCTTTCCCTCTTTGCCTTCAAATCGTGGTAAATATTTAACGTCCAAATGGGTGTCAGTAATTCTGGGATCAGTTAACCCTTCAAACCAATCATGATTGCGGTTAACATCGAATGAATGGAAAATGTTGGGCACCCTCTCAGATATGGGCCGATCGGTCACTCTATCGACCACTCCGTCGGCCATTATTAGGGACACAATCTCTGAAAGCCAATTGTTGCCTGACTTCATATAACCGCAGATCCATATGTCTGTCGGCCTAACTGTCGTGTCTTTAATGGCAATTAGCCAATCAAGTCGACCATGCTTATTGAACACGAATAAACCCTCATGCTCAATCATATCACCAGATTTAACGCCGTAACTGGAATGATATTTAAGGCGGCGCTCAATTTGCTCTTTTGATAACGGCTTTGAATTCATAATTAACGCAAACAATTACCACAATTAATTCAACCGTGCTAATATTTTTAAAATTAATTAACTGTGCAAACAATTTTAGTAATGAAAGAATATTTATAATTAATAATTGTTAATTACTTATTTTATCTAAAATAGTGTTAAATAATATATTGTGTATAGATTTTAAAAACTACGGCAAAAGTGTTTTCTAGAAAAACTATACATTTTTTAAATACAAACTGTTTGTTAAAACAATATTTTGATGAATTTTACGCTTGATTTTAATAATATTGTAAGGCTTACAATGTAAGCGGTGTTTTGCCAGTCATTGCATTTAATTACTATTAGATGCGATGATAAGGCGTTTTTGCCATGAGATGAGAGATATGATCAACACATCATCACATCTCTCATCAGAATACCAGTAGCCCTGACTGAGCAGTGCTTAATGTTTATAAATTAATAAAAATATTAATTATTATTTCGAAAAAATTGTTTTTAATTAACATTATTTTAAATTTATATTGATTTAATGACAAATAAAATATTGATAATATACGTCAAAATAATTATTGTTTTATTTATTTACTAATGAACTGCATATGCTTTACATACCTTGTTTTTAATAACATTCCTTGAAATTATTGACAATTACATTGTTAAATAAATAACTTACTTGTTAATTAACAGCAAATGTTTTAACAATCCAGATAAACTTAGTGACAATAAACATTTTGCATACTGTAAGTTCTATAATAATTGCCAGTGTATGTTGCAATGTATAGTACAGGCATAATCAGTACACCTGCTAAAGTTTGACCAAATTTATTAAACTTATAAGGTCATATTACGATAAAAAACAATTGTTAGTAAGTGGAATATTCTGGGAAAATGATAATCCTTAAGTAAATGATTAGATCCGGATCACTTATGTATATAAGTAATGACAAATAAAGCAATTGTTAGTATTCTAACAAAAACAAATCATGGGAAAACTTACCCTGATCGCTATCCTGCTGGCTTGCGTAGCCGTGTCATTACAGTCGCCGACCAAACAAGTCGACCAAATGGTTGATTATATCAATAATTTGGGAACAACGTGGAGGGTTAGTATTATTACTTAATAGTATAATCATTTATTTAAGAAAATAAAAATTAATTCTAGTTAAAACTTATTAATTGAACATGTTAAATATAAGTATTTTGCATATATAAAATAGGCTGAAAAACAGTTTGACGACTCGTATTCATTGGATTACATCAAAGGCCTGATGGGAGTGCCGGCACTGACCGGACGGGCATTCGGCTCAACACCCGCTTACGATCCGGAGCTGGAGATACCAAATACATTTGACGCACGCACTCAGTGGCCAACCTGTGCCTCAATCAAAGAGGTCAGAGACCAGGGCTCGTGCGGTAAGTTATATTTAAATCATATACAATGACTAAAAGTCATCATGATTATAATCAACTTTACTGTTGAAAATAGGCTCGTGCTGGGCGTTCGCCACCGTCGAGGCCATCAGTGACCGCATATGCATCGCATCGCAGGGCAAACAACAGGTAGAGGTGTCGGCCGAGAATCTGGTGGCCTGTTGTAACGCCTGCGGTAACGGGTGTAGAGGCGGTTGGCCCGAACAGGCCTGGAGTTACTACGAGCGCACGGGTCTGGTGTCGGGCGGTCTGTACGACTCGCACGTCGGTTGTCAGCCATACTCTATCAACGCGTGCGAACACCACGTGTCCGGACATCTGCCGCCCTGTGATAAGGAGCTCCGGCCGACACCCAAATGCCAGCACACGTGCGAAGCCGGCTATAACGGCACCTACGCTAAGGACTTGCATTTTGGTAAATCTTCGTACGGATTCAGTAATGAGAATCAGGCGCTACAACAGGATATCATGAAGAATGGACCCGTGGTCTCAACTTTCCAGGTATTTAATTATCGATAAACACCGCTATGATTATGCTGTTATTTTAGAAAAGTCCTAGAAATATTAACAAGTTAATTTATACACTAACTAGTTGATATTGGTTGTAGTTATAAACTGTAAATAAGCGATTAAATGTTTATTTAAACATTAATATCTAAAATCAAATTATTTATTGGAAAGCATGACCTACTTCTATAGTTGTATACTTACTTTTATTTGTTTTAATTAACGTTTTAAAATGTAATCACCGAATTATAGTAAACAAATTAATCTTGGGTATTTTGAAAAATTTTAAATTAAGTTGGGAGAGACGTGCGTAAATATTTTTTAACTATCATATTTAAATTTTGCATTTATATGACCAGGTATTTGAAGATTTCCTGACCTACAAGTCCGGTGTCTACCATCACGTGAGCGGCGCGTCGGCCGGATTTCACGCCGTGAAGATCATAGGATGGGGTGTGGAGTCGGGTGTGGACTACTGGCTGGTGGCCAACTCATGGAACCCCGATTGGGGTAATAAGGGTTTCTTCAAAATACGTCGGGGTAAAGATGATTGCGGTTTCGAGGGCTCCATTTCAGCCGGTTTGCCAAAACTATAAATTAACCTGGCTTCGTTTAGTATATTTTATATCACATTTAACTGTTATGCTTAACTATTGTAATAACTATTGTGTTAATTAATTGTTTTATAATAAATATAAATCAATTTTGCAAACAACAAATATTTTATGTGAGAGAGAGAGAATTGATATTATAAACTGTAACTTACTATCAAAAATACTCATTTAATATACTTTGAAAATGATTTAATAATTTTTGGAATCCAGCTGAATTCATTATAATATAAAAAAAATATTTTTGACATTTAATGGATATATTTTATTTGTTATTTATTTAAATCAATATTAATTTTTGTAAATACACTTAAATTTTTATATCTCGATCCCTCTGCAACTCGAAACCCTCTATTACTCAAACTATTTTCAAACGCCAGATTCAATCCCATAGTTATAAAAGAAACTTCCAAAACTTGAAAACCTTTATAACTCAAATAATTATGAAAGTTAATGAATAAATTAATAAAAATGAAAAATTGTCTGAATAACTGAAAAACTAGTCAAAATAAACCTTGGTCATTGTCGCGCATAAACTAAAATGTCTACAAATAAATTTGTGTTTAATTTAAATAATCAGTGATTTTCTTATTATTATCTCAAAGCAAACAAATACCACAAGTGTTTGCTTGTAATCAATGTTTAAATCTTATAATAATATTTACTCATTAAAAGTCTGTGTATTAAAAGCATTGCTAATTTATATCGTTATTATTGGCCCATTGGGTGCCATACTATGTACTAAATATTGTGTGAGATTTACTGTTAATATACTGTATAATACGTATACTATTCACAGCGGATGATGTGATACATTGTATATTTCATTTGTTGTCAATGTTTTTAAAATAATATTTTTAATGTTCAAATTTTTATAAATAAATAAATTTTAAGCAAATAATTAATTAAATAGTGATAATTAAATAAGTTTGATAAATATATTGTAAATATATTAATGATCTTTTAATTTAATATTTTAAGTAAAATTTGTTTAAAATTTGTAAATTTAATAAATGTGTTATAAAATTATAATAATATTAATATAATGGAAGAAGAACCCAAAATTCGTGGCAAATCCACCTGGGATAATTGCAATTTTCTAAGCAAGCTATTTTTTCTGTAAGTAGCTAAATATATTATTTTTAATGCATGATTAATTTTAACTTGGTTAAATATATTTTGCGTATTTATTATTTTATATAAATAAGGAAATACATTTTTATATTAAATATATGAACATTAAAATGACAATTACAGTTAAATAAACCAGGATATTAATAGTTGTACAATGTTTCACATTAGTAACATTTAAATGACCTTAATATTAAGTTTAATTAGTAAATTAAATATGATAATTCCAGTGTTTATATTATAACAAGATCATCATTGATTTTAATTCTTGCAATTTGATGAGATATTTAACTTTATTAATTTTTGCAATAAATGTCCATAAAAATAATTAATTAATATGCTAATTAATTATTCAACAATGTAAATCATAATTAACTACCGACTATTAGCCATACAATAAACACATTATTACATAAATATTTACATTTAATGCGAGTAAACATTTATAAGAAGTTATTTTCATTCGTCTCAAAAATTACATTAAAGATATAATTTTAACACAAAATTTTTGCGATAAAAGTTTTCTGAACCAACACTTAAACACTAATAGACTTATAAACTTTTTAATGTAATTTATTTGGTAGATTAAAACCATGAATGAATTCATTTATAAATTATTAGTTATTTTATTTTTATGTTAATATTATATTAAACAAAATATTTCAATATTAACTGAAATAGTATTTATTAATAATTAATTGCTAAAAAATTTTAGTTTTATTTTAATTATTTGATTTTTAATTACAATTTAAATTTAAATTAAAAAGCACATAAACATATAAGTTTCGAGTTATTTAAACATTAGATTTCAAAATCATTAAATTGTTTATTGCAAACTGTACAAGAATAATGACACCGGTGTGATTATTTTAAATCAAAATTTGCACAAAAATGTATTGGAAAAAATGAATGAAATTCATGTAGCTAAACGATATGTTTTTGAGTAGATTTTTGTTCAATACATTTGTGTGAAAATTTTAGTTTAAAAAACCCACTGCTACGTTAAGTTATAAATTTGCATATTTTATTTTATACTAACAAGGAAACGGGAACTCTTTGTTACGCCAGAACTGGATTTAATGGTGATTTACTGTTAAATTAGGCAAAATAAAAAATATAAATTAAATATCTCGGGCTGATAGCCATAAACGACCGAAATATGGCCATTTTTGTGATCGCGCCCATATAGCATATAGCAATGCAGTACTGGTGATTAGCCCAAGCACTGTGTGAAACACCTTTTTTCAATGCTATACGCCGTATACACGCGATCACAAAAATGGCTATATCTCGGTCGTTTATGGCTATCAGCCCGAGATATTTAATTTATATTTTTTATTTTGCCTAATTTAACAGTAAATCACAATTAAATCCAGTTCTGGCGTAACAAAGAGTTCCCGTTCGCTCGTAAATATTTACAGTAAATATTATGTTATATTGTTTTCAATAACAAAATTAAGTTTAACATCAAAAATTAAATATTTTATATTTTTAATATGATCAAATAAATTTATAAAAACACATAGTTGGGTATTTCCCACATGGATGGTCGGTGTGCGCAAGAATGGCCTGGATATGGACGACATGTCCCGGTGCCCAAAAGCGGTGGACGCACAGCGTATATGCAATTTACTGGAAAAGTTAGTCATTTACCATAATTCCTAAACAGGCATTAATCTTTAGTTGTTATTAGATTATTATAACTGTTATTATGTAACATAATTTATGTTTGTATTGACAGATAGTATATATAATTTGACACAAATTGTAATTCCTATTAAACAAATATCGATATCAAACAAATTACTACAGGAACTGGCGGTACGAGTGCCGCAAAAAGCGACCCAAATTCTGGAGGGCTCTTTTCTGGACGTTTGGCAAACACTATATACTCCCGTTTTGCGTATTTTTATTCGAGGTAAAATCAAACCGACTACTGTAAAACAATTAAGCAAGAATTACCACGGTACATCAATTATAGGAAAGTATAATCCGTATCGCTCAGCCCATTTTGCTCGGGTATGTGATTGACTACTTCAGTGGCGTACCCGCCGTCACCTATCAGGAGGCGTGCGTGGCTGCGGCGGGAGTGTGCCTGTGCTCAGCCCTGTTTATTACACTACACCATCCGATGCTAGTGTTTAGCCAAGAGGTCGGTATGCGTATGCGGATCGCCAGCTGTGCCCTCATGTATAAAAAGGTAAATTATCATTTTGGCAAAACACTCTTTGATTTATTAAACAATATAGATTAATAATTTTACATTATTAATTTTGCAGTCACTCAAACTGAGCCGGGCATCGCTTGGCAAGACTACTGTCGGTCAAATTGTTAACATTATGTCCAACGATGTGAACCGTTTTGACGAGGTATTCATTTGCATTGGGTTTAATGCCTACGATATATAAAAATATAATAAAATTTATATTTATTTTGCACCAAGTTTTCCACATTTGTACACTATCTGGTATTAGGACCGGTACAGGCAGTGATTGTGTCCTACATTATGTACACACATCTTGGTTGGTCAGCGTTTGTTGGCGTCGCTCTGCTCGTACCGTTCATACCGTTTCAATTGTTTATTGGTAAACTGTTCTCGATGTTTAGGTAAATGTGAATAATTTTATAACCACTCTATAAATTATCTACATGTATAGTATTTTAATGTTCAAAATTCAAATTTAACATTCAGACAAATGACGGCCAAACTATCGGACAACCGGTTACGGTTAATGACCGAGATCATTTCGGGTATGCGTGTCATTAAAATGTATGCGTGGGAACAGCCGTTCGCCGAACTCGTGGCCAATGCTAGAAAGTAAGCGCCTATAGTTTTGAATATTATATTTATACATTATAACGTTAAGTTCACAATATGATTATGACCTATACGGTTGTTTTGTGGTATCTATTGGTATCTAGCTTTGAACCACTGTTTTGTAATTCATGTACTATTCATAGATTATTCATATACGGTATAGTGTACATTAATATTTTTACATTTATTTGTTTACAATTATTTGTGCAATAAGTATGAATTTTAAATTTATAATATAATATAGAATAGGTGATTAATGTAAAAATAGTAACATTTACTTTGAATAATATTTGGAAAGTTATCTTGGTGAATCAATAACCACGTCATTATAAAATGCCCCCTTTATTATCAAACAACGCTTCTGATTATGACAAAGTATTTAAGCGCTAATAATGGTACTAAAATATACTTTACAATTAGATAAAGCATCTAGCTTTAAGATTTAGGCCACGGACATATTTAACGGGTATAATAGTCACAGTTAGAATAATGATTTGATTTAATAGTTTTAATTTTTGCGCTAGTATTGTGAGGATATTTTATTCGTATCTATGATCTTTTTACTTTACACATATTAATTAATTAATAATAATAATAATAATAATAATTAATAGGCATGAATACCATATAACGGATATTATGGTCCATATTTATAATTTAAATTACTATCTATTTGCAAACTAATTAATGTTGCAAATCTGAATAAAAATAATTGTAAACGCAATTATGTACAATGTTTTTGAGTATTAATATAAAAATATGGAATCTGTGATTTGGCGACCAATACTAATATAAAATTCAATGTTATATTAATGTATGAAATTGTGTAGAACAAATTTACAGTTTAACAAATATAAAATATTTTAACAAATTATAACATTATGCTAAATACAATGTTTGGATTACAGGTCAGAGGTGGGCCGCATCCAGTGGTCATGTATGCTAAAAGCTGTCAATTTGTCCATGTTTTTTGTCACCTCACGGGTCATACTATTCGCCTGTTTTATAACATACGTACTGACGGGTAATGTGTTGACCGCCAAAGCGGTGTTCGTAACGATGGCTTTGTTTAACACATTGCGGATCACATTAACACTACTTTTCCCAAATGCCATCACACAGTGGGCTGAGTCACGGGTTACATGCGATCGCATACAGGTCAGTTTTTTATTGTTTACATAATTAATCCTTAATTTATTAAAATTTCAATTTATTATATTTGAAATAATTTGCAATAAAAATATTTTACACTTTTTTAAAGACATTT